CCCCTGAATTATTTTATTTACACAGAAAAACAAGAAAGTTAAAACAGGTAAATAAAATAAATAGGTATAATAAAAATAATATATTTTATATATGATAAAAGTTTATATCAATTTATATAAATGTATATTGTTTTAAAAGAAATATAGTCTTCAAGATTTGTTCATTTAGGCAAGTAAATTCAAGGGTCATGAGATTACTGCTGTTGGATGGAATTTTTCAAATTCTTCTGAAACTACCACAGGTCCAATTCTTTTGGGAACTTCAAAAGGTCTCATTCTTGAAACAGAAATTGGTTTAGATGGTGATAAAATATTTAATACAAGTTTGGAGCAGTATTGGCGTCAGGTATAAATAAAATAGATAAATTAACTTTTAGTATCATTGTCAGTAAACATTATCATTTCATAATAATAGAAGTGTTTCCCTTATATCATTATTCATTATGTCCAAAGCTTCCTAACTATTTACCTCTTTATGGTGCTAAAGAGGTAGAAGGATTGGTGAGTTAGAAACTATACTTTTTGCATGTGCAAAACATCAGTATGCTAGAAATATACAAATGTCTGAATTTAAAAAAATAAATAATGTAATGTAGCATTATATATACTTATAAAAAAATTATGATTTCTGAATCATTTTAATGTGTGCTTATTATATTCTGCTGTTTTCATATCATAATCATACTTTATCATGTCATAAGATAGTATTGTATATTATTATTATACAACCAGTGTTTAATTATTATTTATTTTAGGTATTTGATATAGGAAAAAATAGTAAACCACCAATCACTGGTTTAGAGTTCCATAAAATACCAAATACTGACAAATATGTGATTATTGTTACCACTCTTATGAGAATTTATCAATATATTGGAGCAGTACAGAATCCAGAAGAGAAACCTTTGTTGCAACAAGTTTTTAACAGATATTTGAATGTACAAGGTAATTATTTATTATGTATATTTTATTTAATTATATTTATGATCAAAGTAATTTTTTTTCAGAAAGTTTTAATGAAGTAATAAATCACTTACCTTATTCTAAAATTCAATTGTATTATCCTGCACTTGGTGCTTTACCAAAATCTTTTGGCTGGTTAACAGAAACTGGTATACTATATGCTCAGGTAGTAATTATTTTAATAAGATTTATATAAATTTGTAAATTTTTTTTTTATTTGTGAAACCTTTTGTCCGTAAAATTAATTTTTATATATTTTGAAATTATTAGATCAATCCAAAGGTAGATCCAAAAAGTGTATTAACAAATCAGCAAATGTTAACTTGTCCTGAAACAAGCTTGATGGGGAGCAATATTTCTCAAACAACTACTGCACCATTATCTTTCATTTTAACAGAATTTCATGCATTATTACTTTATACAGATCGTGTAAAAGGCATGTCACTTTTGAATCAGGACTTGATATTTGAAGATATTTATAATGATGTATGTATAATAAACATGTTTTTCTCTTAATGTATAAGGAACCAAAATTATAATAGAGTTAATGTAATTTCTGACATTTAAAATGATATTATTAATTTTTTTATTAATTTTCATTTATATAGACAGCTACAAAATTACTTAACATTACCAAAGATCATGTAACACGTTCTATATGGGCTTATAGTGAGAAAGCGGTATTTAAATATAAAGTCAATAAAGAAGATAGAAATGTTTGGCAGGTAAAATTAAAACGTTAGCATAATATTTTTATTTAAATTAATAAATACACATATTACTTTTAAATAGGTTTATATTGATAAAGGTGAATTTGAACTTGCAAAACAATATTGTAAAGATAATCCAGCACATATAGATCAAGTATTTGTAAAGCAAGCAGAAATGCTCTTTAAAAATAAGGAGTAAGTTAACAATGCATATACTTATCATTTACTATGTAATACATAGATATAAAATTATTTTGAACATTATGTTATAGATACGAAAAAAGTGCTCTTATTTATGCTGATACTCATTCATCATTTGAAGAAATTTGTTTAAAATTTTTACAAGAATGGCAAATAGAGGCATTGAAAACATTTCTTAAAAAGGTATTGTATTGTGATATTTGTTACTCCAAGTTATTTAAATTTACGTTTTCAATAATTCAGTTTTTTGTATTTAGAAACTTGAAGGATTAAAAACACAAGATAAAACCCAAATAACTATGATTGTTGTATGGGTAATTGAATTATTTATGAATCAAATGGGTGTATTACGAAGTAATAATACGTCGTATTTAAATGATCCACAATATTTAGAATTGCAGAAACAATTCGATAGTTTTTTAGCTACACCAAAAGTTGAGGTATTGACTATTAAATATAATATTATTGTATGTGTGGTATGGGAAAATGAAGAGAGTGTTTGTCGTAGCGAGTGACAGGTGTATGAATGGCGTAGTAGAGAATGGAAGTCAATAATCAATGTGTATTTCTTTAATTAATTAATGATAAAAAGATTTTTGAGATAGGAAATACTATTTTAGTTCCAGGAATGTATAAAAAAAAATCGTAGTACTATATATGATTTAATGGCAAGTCATGGTGACAAAGACAATCTTATTCGCTGGGCTATAATGCACTGCAACTATGAAGAAGTGATACGTCAATACTTATATAAAAATAATTATATTGAAGCTCTTGAGGTTTTAGAAAGTCAAAACAATAAAGAGTTATTTTATCAGTTTGCTGGTATTCTTTTACAAGAATTACCACGACCTGCAATGACAGTCCTGATATCACAGGGTTCTTTATTAAAACCATCTAAGCTTCTTCCAGCTTTAATAGCTTGTAATAGTGATGAAAAGCATGTAAGATATTTAATCTCTTATTTTATCCAGATTTTAAAATTTATAACAATTAATCAATGTTTGGCATCATAGGCAAAAGAAGTAATCAGATATTTAGAATTTTGCGTTTATAAACAAAGCTGTCAGGAACAAGCAATCCATAATTTTTTATTATCATTATATGCTCGTTATAAGCAAGATGAAGTAATGCGTTATATCAGTTCTCAAGGTGACTTTTCAAACTATATTCTTTTCATGAAGCAATATTTTTAATGGAGACGCTTAAATTTACTTCAGGACAAGATATAAATATGGTTCATTATGATGTGCATTATGCATTACGATTGTGTCAAGAAATTGGCTTAACAGAAGCATGTGTACAATTGTCTGCTTTACTTGGGTTATGGACAACAGCAGTTGATTTAGCTTTAACAATTAGTGTTGATCTTGCTAAACAAATAGCAGTTATGCCTTCTGATCATGACGATGAATTAAGGAAAAAATTATGGTTAAAAATTGGTAATTAAGAATTTAACGTAAAAATATGATATTTTATCTCAATATTTACTCATCCTAATTTTAGCGGAACACGTGGTTCGAGAAAAAGATGACATAGAAGAAGCAATGAAGTCTTTACAGAATTGTGATATAATCAGAATAGAAGACATATTACCTTTCTTTTCAGATTTTGTTACTATAGATCATTTTAAGAATGCTATTTGTAATTCATTACAGGTGAAATAATTTTGAAGATAGTACATATATAGTTGTTAATTATGTATACAAATAGTATTTATTTTAATTGTACTTGACAGGAATACAATCAACATATTCAAGATTTGAAAGAGGAAATGGAAGAAGCAACAAATGCAGCAGAACTTATTAGAAAAGATATACAAGAGTACAGAACAAGGTAAATTTTCAAATAATGGTAAATTATTCAGTGATGTAATTTTGGGATGTAATATTATTGAAATTTTTTTAGATGTACCTTTATACATACAAAAGATACATGCAATATATGTGGTGTTCAGTTATTATTACGATCTTTTTATATATTTTCATGTGGACATAAATTTCACAGTGATTGTCTTGTAGCTACATTGACACCAATGTTGTCAGTGGATCAAAGAACAAAATTCGCCCATCTTCAATGCCAACTTACTGCTCTTTCAAATAAACCTGAAGATACTAGATCAGTTGGATCTTTATCCAAAAAAGATCAAATTAAAGCTGACATTGATGAATTAATAGCCTCTGAATGTTTATATTGTGGAGAACTTATGATAGAGTAAATTATCTTATTAATTCATATTTATATGTAAATGTGTATATATAACTATTTTAAAGCAAAATGGATTAAAATAATGAAATTCATGTTCCAGGTCTATAAATAAACCATTTATTGAAGAAGAAGATTATGAGAGAGTAATGAAGGAATGGATATGAGTAGCATAAAATACTGTTTGTTTTCAAAATATTCCAAAGCATATACATCTTTGTTGTATATTACATTTATTTATCAAAATTAATATTTGTAATAGAATATCTATTGTACTTTATCAATAATGAAGATTATTTATTTTATATGTGCATTATAATTATTTGTAAAAAATAAGAAACTAGGATAGATTTAAAATAATATAAAATGTAAATTTTACGATGTTGTACGCATTAGAGTATACATATATGGAAGTATAAATCTTTGTAATATGTTAAGCACATTGAAAAACATTAATTTAAAATATGTTCAAAATATAAATATAAATATAAATATAGTGTACTAATTATAATTTAACTAATTCCCAAATGTAATTCTGCTTCTTTATTTCGTTTACTCACGGCTTTATTCCCATGAATGTAATATCGTAATGGTTTATTTATCCATTCTTCTCCATAGTTATCTATTCCTATTCTACGACATTTAACAATGTCGATTTTTTCATTTTTGCCATTTTCAATCCATAAACATTTCCAAGAACATAAAGAATATTTACTATGATTTTTATGAAGTTGGTAAGCCATACATAACTTTGATGGACCATTGCATAATTCATGAACTTTTAAATTTTTTGAAAGCTTTTTAGGTGCATTTGATAATCCCTTTGAAGTTCGTTGATTAGTCATATATTCAATACCTTCTAAAGGTTCAATAGCTCTTATTAGAACAGCACATCCTTCACCTAAAATCTTACCAGGAGAATTTTTTATAGAAAAATAATAAATACAAAAATGGAAATTCTTAAATATTATAAGCATGTTCTTCAGATTCAGTATCTCTGTGACTAACACTAGAGCTTCCTAACACATAATATCTCCATACTTTTTCTTTACTATTTTTTGAATTATCAGAATTTGCTGCTACAATAGTAGTTGATTTTATATAAGGATCACATTCTATCCATAAATCACTACATTCATAAATCTTTATTTTATTGAAATTATCTTCATCAATAGCAAAAGCTGTACAAATCTTGATTGGCTCATTACAAAGTTCATATCTTTTAAAATTTTTGACATGTTTTACTATTTTTTTTCCTGTTTTATTTTTTTTTAATTCCATGTTTCTTAATAATTCCATATACTCAAGACCATGTATTGGTTCAATTGCTTTAATTAATACATGTGCACCTGACTCTAGATATATTTTGACAAAGTACTAGGTATGTTTTTAGCAGATTACATTGATTATTTACAATATTAAATTCTACCTAACTTCTGTTTTAACTCTTATTTATTTTTCACTCACCTTGACTGGATATGTTGAAACAATGATACATTCCATATGTCATATACACATATACAGTACCTGGTGGCATGTACATTGGTATATTACGAGGAGTAATTTTATTTTTATATGTATGCGATGCTTTGTCAATTACTCCCAAATATCCTTCTGTTTCAACAATCCTTCCTTTCAAAATAGTTCCATTTTCTAGATAACGAACTAATATTTTTCCTGGATATATAAGTTGATATTAATGTTGCATACTTTTATTATATACATTAAATAATCGAGGGAATTGAATAATGAAAATTACCTAACAAATTTTGTGCTAATTCTTCACAGGGACAATTAAAAAATGAGTATGGCAGTCTATTTGAACATATTTCTTTTTCCCATGGAGTTAATGGTGGATCTTCCAATTGTTTTAACTCTTCTTGCATCATCTTAAGATCCACCACTGCTCTAAGTTTATTTTTTGGAGGACATGTATTTGGTTCAAAATCCACATTAACTTTTTTGCTTCCTATATACATATAAATTATATGAAAATCTACATCAAATATAATGGATGGGTATTGTTGCAAGACTTACTATCTTGCAAACTTTTCAAGTTAAGTTTACTTCCATGTTCTTGTTTGTGAGTTTGGATATCTTTTGACAAAGGTCTTGGTGTTTCTGCTATGTCACTTAAATTTTGATGTTGAATCATTGCATGCTCTTCAATATCCTATTAAATTTTTTTATTCTATTTAGAAATAATATAGATGAATATTAAAATAATTATGAAAAAGAAATATAAGTTATACATGATCAAATTACAAATATTTTAGTATAGTTACAAATATTAAATTTAATTTTATTTTCTTACTGGAAAAGCAAATATGAAAAGCTGCACATATACAAAATAATGTGAATTACGATTTAATTGATTCACTTAAAAAAATGAATAGATAGTAATAATTAACCTTTGAGTTAGTTTTCAGCTCATCACTACAATCACTGTTTTTTTTTTTTGAATAGAACGTACCTTCGAAGTTGATCGTGTTCTCTTCATTAGTGAAATGTGAGCCACAAACCGAAATTCGTTAAATATTTGATGAGTAACAACTTCTACGAAAAGTAAAATAGATTATAATATATTTTTTAATATTATCGACTTAGGTTAGATAGGTACCTAAAGAATGTTAAATTCAAAATTCAAGTGCAATGAAGTTTTCCCGCAAGACACTAAACGTCACATATCAGTGTTACCACGTTGAAAGTAAGTTTGAGATGACCAGATAACTTTTATTCGCGTTATTATACTGATTCGTGCTTTGAAACATATTGAGAAATGGCATTATCTCCATAGTTTGTAAAATAATAAGATAACAAATTGTTATGTTTTTGTTTGAGAATATAATTTGTTTATAGCAAATTAATTAATACATACCACTCTGTAACATTCCGCGATTGACGAGGATTTTTAGATTGGATATTATGGGCAACATCTACATTCGATTGAACAATAATAGCAGGTATAATAAGAAACGCGGATATATTTTCTTAATCAGTTACAGGCTAGTTTTGAACTATTGTAGAAGAATGCCACGCTGTTATACGTGTACATTCAACTATCTTCGATATGAATTGTTTTTACTATGAGCGAGATCATAGATTGCGTCAATCATGCATTTGAGATTTATTTTTGTTGTATTTGCCGTAATAAAGTAAAATACGAGGCAGCTTTGTTGAATACCTGAAATAAAATTTAGATCTTAACCTTCATTTCGTCACTTTAATTTTGCAATAATCGATTTTTTTTATATAAAATATTTTCAAAACTCAACACAGTTTAATATAAAATGTTTTATTCCGATTTTTTTCAGTTGTTATTTTTCGTCATGAAACATTTAGCAAACGTTTACTTACCATTGATAGCGTATGAATAGACAGTGTTTGGAAAGTTAATGCTGTAATCATGCAGCATTGTTGCGCCCTAACAATCATAAAGCAAAGATATTTTCGATAAATCGGCGGCAAATTGTACCATGGTATATTGAAATAGATTGCATGTCCTATATTTTGACTTTCTTGGACAAGAATTTCACCTGGCCAACACCATAATAGGAGTTGTACCCCCATGGAAATGAAATAAGATATAAATTTTAGCAGGTTAGCATTTGTTGTCCCGTTGTCGAGTATTGCATAACTACTTAAACAAATTTCCATTCCGCTCGTAAGAAGTTGCATGAAAATGATCGGGGTTAATAAATTATTTACATTATTCACCACACTGTGTAAGAGTAGTAATATTGTTAAAGGTTCGAATAAAATTAAATTTCTATAATTTGATGAAAAATTTTTGCTTATAAATGTAACAAAGATAAACAAAAAAAATTAATAAATAAAATTACGAATAGAACGGGATTAGAAATAGAATTATTAGAAACAGATATTTACTGTATCATTCGTTGATGATGGCGAATGCATTTGATTAATTCCATTTTGAACTTTTGCGTATGATCAGGATCGTGATTGACTTCAATTCCGATATTATTAATCCAGGTGCTGATTAATTTAAATTGTGCAGATACATGCAAAATGGTGGTCATAAACGAAGCATCTAAGCCGGAAATTACAGCAGCACAAATCATTGATGATATAACTTGGCAAACAAAAGCGATTTCGAAGGTAGGGGATGCAGAGATGTCCGTTCCATACCTAATAGTGATGTTAAGTACAATATGAATTTTTAATAATATAAATTAATGCGTAATGGCATAAATTAAATGATTTTAAAATGATTTTTACCAAACAGTAAAAGGTAAATTTCGTTTATTATCAGTGTTACTGATGTTGTATTCGAAACTGAAGTAATCGATTGCTGAAGCAATCGTAAAGGTGAACACATTGCACATGCAGGACGAATAAAAAACTATTGTAATAATTCGTGCCCAATAAGCAATTTTTACATAAGGTTGTTTTTCTTTAGGAATGCTGGAAGAATCCCACAGTGCACGTATTTCGTTGTAAAGTCTGTATGTCCTTTCTCGTCTCGCTATTAGATAAATCATTTTGAACCACACTTGTTCCACTGTTGTTAAAACACATCCTACTCCTTATTCCAGAAGGAATTTTATTTGTTACGTTGTCAGAGGATAAAGTATTGTTCGGAAAAATGTGAAATTTAAGTCAATTGTATACTTAAACTTACCCGCTAGGATATTTATATCGCCCCAATTTGACACTATGGCCATAATTTCGGGCACTAAGATGCTACTAACTGCCGTTAATCCAAATATCAAGCGAAAATATGCAAATACTTTGCTGCATGTCGAACTTTTCTCGTCAATAGGCCACATTCCAGCCATAGTACACAAGATCTTATTCGGTAGTATATAATAATCGATAGACGTATTAGATAGTTCTTTCATGTTCTCCCTTATGCGAAATTGGATGCGTGTCTACGAGTGAAACCTATTCACATATATGTCTCAACGAAATTTTCCTGATAGAATTTTTTATGGCGATATTATAGGCTAGATACTAAAACATAAGGTTTCGTTTGCGTTTTCTCTTCACTTAAAGCATTAAATATTAATGTCACCATTCCATACACATTTCTCTATACTTTGCCTGTTTTTTGATTTACAGTTTGATGAATGTATAGTTGAATGCTGTAAGTCGCGGGACCAATACACAAATTGATATAACGTTCTTCCATGCAACAAAGTAGAAGCTTTAACGTGCTTAGTAGATTGTCGAATCGTATAGAAGAAACAGCACGAAGGGTTCGTCCTTATTTTTACTTCTCTTCGTTATTATATTTCAAGAAGATAGAGCTTCGTCGTATTGACATATGAAAGGTATAATAATTAACAATAATAATACACTTATAATAATTTAGTCTACTTTTGAGCATTGTTTTTTTCTTATTTATGAAGATATATCGTGAAACAATGAAATGAAAAATAACAACGAGTGAATGAGTCTTCATACGGTAACGTACATTTTGTAAATGATATAAATTATAGTCTTCTAGTTTTTGTTCGCTTTTCAACGATTTTTGGGCATCGTAAAGTTATTATGAAATTGAAAAAGTTCCACGCATTACCATTTTTTTATCGATCGCTGGATTTCTAAAAGGCTTTTGCCTGCCGTTTCTGGGATTAAAAAATGTACATACGGTACCGAAAATAACAGGCAGATACTATAACTCCAATACACGAATTTGTCGCCGATTAAATCCAACAAAGGCTGATAAGTTTTTGTACTTGTGAATGATAACAAAGCATTGCTTGTACTTACGCATAACGATGCCATGGTTTTTAAATTTGCAGTGAACATTTCACCTAAAAGTGTATTTGGAATCGGCTGCAGTCCACAAGACATAGACAAATTGAAAAATAATAAAGCGAATATCGGCAACCACGTCAAACTTTTGGGATCGTATTCCAATGAAAGAAGATGAAAGTGTAATCCTAAAAGTGCTAAGGATATCGATGTTCCTATACTAGACATTATTAAAAGATATTTTCTGCCCAATTTGTCAACTAGCAACGTGACTGTCGAACCGGCGACAATCGTGGACAATCCAAGGATCGTAACCACTATGCTGGGTTTTATGCTAATTTCGCTTTTTGTCAGGATTATTTCTGCATAAGAGTTCAGAGCACTGTATCCACTCACATAAGAGAACACGTAGACACCAATTACGATGAGGGGTTTCTTTAAATTACCTGAAATAAAGTAGAGAGAAATTCGGAATTGTTAGTATCTGTTGGTATTAATTTCTTAAGTTCAGTACTTCAAATTTTCATTACAACGAGAACAGACGGATTATGAAGCTTTCGAAAGTTGTTTTAGATTAGTTTGCAGGAAATCGCAAGAGGAAACTAATCTAGTAGAAATACTGTGTTTAATATATTTGATGGACATAAGTTAACGACATTAATTTTCACGAAAACAATTTGAGATATTTAAACGTTAATAATTACGTTTAAGCGAAACGTTTGTAATGAAACATGAAATTTCTAGAAGAAATTAAAGTTGTTCTGCGTAAACAATGAATTCTTTTGTCGTTAACTTTTGTAGAAATGTTTAAATAAAAAGAGAATCGTGAGTACTTGGCATAAGGAACTCCTTCAACTTTAGGAAAATATTAGTTTCAGCTCCGTCGACGAATTCTTGAAGATCTTGCATCTCGGCTTTGACGTCAGCTTCTCGCCTAAACCACTTCAAGGATGCCTCGGCCTTGTCGATATCCCCGTGCAGGAGGTAATGGTAGGGTGATTCGGGTATCAAACTGAAGAGGATCATGAAGAGGATATTCGGAACGAGGCTCACGTACCCGAATATCTCCATGGACAGATAAGGACCCATTGCATTGCCCAAGAACATACCGAAGGAAGATGCATTCACGTTCATGACTATCTGAAGACGTGACCACAGGTATGACTTTATCGAACAAGAATGAGAATATTTATATGGATAACAAAAAAAAAAAAGTGTATCGTATTGAATCAGTTTAATCGATACACGAAATCAGAATGTTTAACTAATGATCTTCGATAAATATTTGAAGTAAAAATTGATCATAGAAAAATTTTCATTATCTTGTACGGTTTAAGAGTGACTTAATAAGAATTTACCAGCGATCCACGAATTTTCGGATTGGCGATTTCACTTAGATATAAGGACAACGCAGCCCACAATATTCCTGATCCGATACCCGAACAGAATCTAGAGATGTAGAGCCACATGACCGATGTAGCGCAAATGCTGAATACCCAGCTCGCTGTCAACGGTAGTCCACTAAGTAGAAGCACCCACTTCCGTCCAACATACTCTGAAGATGATGTTGTGATATGTTAAAGTTACATTTACCTGAGAACAAGATCACCACAACTCAGAACTTAACAGCTGCTCAATGATCACTGAAATTTTCAATTCGCTCTTTTTATTGGTTTCTTGAGGATCTTGGTTTAAAGATCACTCGTATATTTCAGTGGACTTCAAGTGTGCTTCTTTTCGACAAGTAATATCGATAGAGAATCAATTATTTGCTTGCATTTACTTTTCTACGTACCACAATTTCGTATCATGTTTTTCTACGCGTGCTGAGTCGTGGCTGCCTTGTTCTTATTCAATTCTCGATTAACAATGTTGATCACCATTGTTTGCCTTGCTTGGTCACTTGATCGTGTGCTGCAAGAGAGTATCGATCGGGTCAACTACGAACTATATACGTGTTTTGCGAAAGTTATCGCACATTTCTAGCATATTGAACAATTTAAATTGGGCAAGTGTTCTATTCTGTTATATTTCATTTGAAAAGATAAATTAAAAGAATTCTCCATGTTTAGGTATATCTCGGTGAAACGACTGGAGAGAGAGAGAGAGAGAGAGTAAATTAATAGACCAGACCAGATGAATTTTCTTTCTGACAATGAAGAAACAGCCTTACCTTGACACACTGCACTGAGCAAAGCCCCGGCAAGGCGACCAAGATTTAAAAGGGAAGCAACCCAGGACGCTTCGGTATCTGTCAGTCTCAAAGGCATGTTCGCTTCCGTTGATGTCAGTTGAGCCAAGTACGGCGATACCCAACCATTCGCGAGACCACTTCCGATAACAGCTAAGCTGACTGTCACAAACGGCCATGAAACAGTTGTGTCAACGGATGCGAGAGTAATTTCATTAGCTCATTCATAGACATAGCTTTACAAGCACGTTGATGTAGGGGATGCGGCGCATTTTGATGTATCAGAGATTGTATTAGAGAGTCTTGATCAAGTTTAATGTTAAGCACACGTCGTGTTCGTGAACTTTCAGAAAACGTGATGCAACTATTATCGTTTTCTAGATATCAAGATGCTCAAGTTCAAGCTTTGATTCGAAATATTGTTCGCGTATGAGAATTTCTTTAATTTAGAAATGGAATAATATTTAATTGTATACTTTAGTTTAACTATACTCACGTGTACAAGCAGCTAGCCATTGCGGCCAGATCGTGATGCTTTTATCTGTATCTTTTTTGGGGTTTTCCGCAGACATCTTGACTTTGGATGCCAGGCAAGATGTGCAGGATGCGAGGTGCCTGCCTTGCCAGGTCGGATGAAGTTATCCGAACTGACTCATATAATTCATGAAACTTATAGCA